TGTGTTAACTAATTTTAATTGTTGATGTAATTTCTATTTTAAAGGAATGTGTTATCTAAGCATAGTGAACTTTAATTTTGGGGTTTATGAGGGCAGAAAACTTTTCCCATTGAAGTTAATGGAATCAGCTATGTCTTATAGTATTGTCACTCCCATGATGATAGTGAGACTGAGACAACAAAATGTTAAATAATTTTCCCAGCCTCACACAACTAATATATAGAGGACCTGGGATACAAACCTCAGGCCATCTCATAGCAGAACCCATGATTTTAGCCACTATACTGTATCACTTCTTTCTAGGCGGGAAATTTGTTGTTGTTAGGTGCCGTCAAGTCAGTACCCAATTATAGCAACCCTATGTACAATAGAAACATGCCCGGTCCTGTGCCATCCTCACAATCGTTGCTGTGTTTGAGCCCATTGTTGCAGCCACTGTGTCCGTCCATCTCGTTGAGGGTCTTCCTCTTTTTAGCTGATCTTTTACTTTAGCAGGCATGATGTCCTTCTCCAGGGACTGATCCCTCCTGATAACATGTCCAAAGTATGTGAGACAAAGTCTCGCCATCTTTGCTTCTAAGGAACATTCTGGCTGCACTTCTTCCAAGACAGATTTGTTAATTCTTCTGGCAGTCCACGGTATATTCAGTATTCTTCACCAACACCATAATTCAAAGGCATCAATTCTTCTTTGGTCTTCTTTATTCATTGTCCAACTTTCACATGTATATGAGACGATTGAAAACACCATGACTTGGGTACGTGTGCGATACGTCATTTGAATTTTTGACTGCTGCTTCCATGGATATTGACTGTGGATCCAGGTAAAATGAAATCCTTGACAACTTCAGTCTTTTCTCCATTTATCATAATGTTGCTTATTGGTCCAGTTGTGAGGATTTTTGTTTTCTTCATGTTGAGGTACAATCCATACTGAAGACTATATAGTCTTTGATCTTCATCAGTAAGTGCTTCAAGTCCTTTTGACTTTCTGCAAGCAAGATTATGTCATCTACATGTTGCGCATTGTTAATAAGTGATCCTCCAATCCTGATGCCATGTTCTTCATATAGTCCAGCTTATGGATTATTTGCTCAGCATACAGATTGCATAAGTATGGTGAAAGGATACAACCCTGATGCACACCTTTCCTGTCTTTAAACCATGCAGTATCCCCTTATTCTTTTTGAATGACTGCCTCTTGGTCTATGTACAAGTTCCTTATGAGCACGATTAAGTGTTCTGGAATTCCCATTCTTTGCAATGTTATCTGTAATTTGTCATGAACACATAGTCAAATGCTTTTGCATAGTCAATAAAACACAGATAAACATCTTTCTGGTATTCTGCGCTTTCAGCCAAGACGCATCTCACATCAGCAATGATATCCCTCATTCCACATCCTTTTCTGAATCCAGCTTGAAATTCTGGCAGTTCCCTGTCGTTCTGCAACTGCTTTTGAATGATCTTCAGCAAAATTTTACTTGTGTGTGATATAAATAATATTGTTTGATAATTTCTGCATTCTGTTGGATCACCTTTCTTTGGAATGAGCACAAATAAGGATCTCTTCCAGTCAGTTAGCCAGGAAGCTGTCTTCCAAATTTCTGGATATAGACGAGTGACCACCTCTAGCACTGTATCTGTTTGTTGAAACATCTCAATTGGTATTTTGTAAATTCCTGGAGCCTTGTTTTTTGCCATTCCCTTCAAAGTAGCTTGGACCTCTTCTTTTAGTACTGTTAGTTCTTGATCATATGCTACCTCCTGAAATGGTTGAACATTAACCAGTTCTTTTTTGTACAGTGACTCTGTGTTTTCCTTCCATCTTCTTTTGATGCTTCGTGCATCATTCAATATTTTACCCATAGAGTCAGTAGTATTATAACTCAAGGCTTGAATTTTTTTCTTCAGTTCTTTCAGCATGAGAAATGCTAAATGTGTGCTTCCCTTTGGTTTTCTAATTCCAGGTCTTTGCACATTTCACTATAATACTTTACTTTGTCTTCTTGAGCCACTCTTTGAAATCTTATGTTAAGCTCTTTTGCTTTGTCATTTCTTCCTTTCACTTTAGCTACTCTATGTTGAAGAGGAAGTTTCCGAGTCTCTTCTGACATCCATTTTGGTCTTTTCTTTCTTTCCTGTCTTTTTAATGTCCTTTTACTTCTTCATGTATGATGTCCTGGATGTCATTCCACAACTCGTCTGGTCTTCGGTCATAAGTGTTCAATGCACCAAATCTATTCATGAGATGGTCTCTAAATTCAGGTGGGATAAACTCGAGGTCATACTTTGGCTCTCATGGACTTGTTCTGATTTTCTTCAGCTTCAATTTGAACTCGTATATGAACAATTGATGGTCTGTTCTGCAGTCAGCCCCTGGCCTTTGTTCTGACTGATGATATTGAGCTTTTTCCATAGTCTCTTTCCACAGATGTAGTCGATTTGATTCCTGTGTATTCCATCTGGTGAGGCCCACATGTATGGTCACCATTTATGTTGTTGAAAAAGGTATTTGCAATGAAGAAGTCATTGGTCTTGGAAAATTGTATCATGTGATCTCCAGCATCATTTCTGTCACCAAGGCCATATTTTCCTACTACTGATCATTCTGCTTTGTTTCCTACTTCGCATTCCAATCACCAGTAATTATCAATGCATCTTGATGGAATGTTTGATCAGTTTCAGACTGCTGAAGTTGATAACAATCTTCAGTTTCCTCTTATTTGGCCTTAGTGGTTGGTGTGTAAATTTGAATAATATTCGTATTAACTGATCTTCCTTGTAGGCGTATGGATATTATCCTATCACTGACAAGTTGTACTTCAGGATAGATCTTGAAATGCTCTTTTTGATGAGGCATATGACACTTTTCTTCTTTAGTTTGTCATTCCTGGCATAGTAGACCATATGATTGTCTGAAACAAAATGGCCAATACCTGTCTATTTCAGCTGTAATGCCTGGAATATCGATATTTGTGCATTCCATTTCATTTTTCCAATTTTCCTAGATTCATACTTTGTGCATTCCAAGTTCTGATTATTAATGTATATTTGTAGCTGTTTCTTCTCATTTTGAGTTGCGCCACATTAGTAAATGAAGGTCCTGAAAGCTTGACTCCATCCATGTCATTAAGGTCAACTCTACTTTGAGGAGACAGCTCTTCTCCAGTGGTATTTTGAGTGCCTTCCAACCTGAGGGTCTCATCTTCCTGCACTATACCAGACAATCTCCTGCTGCTACTTATAAGATCTTCACTGGCCAGTTTTTTCAGAAGTAGACTTCCAGGTCTTTCTTCCTAGTCTATTTTAGTCTGGAAGCTCAGCTGAAACCTGTCCACCTTGGGTGACCCTGGTGGTATTTGAAATACTAGGGGCATAGCTTTCAGAACCACAGTGACACACAAGCTACCGCAGTACGACAAACTGCCAGACATGTGGTGAGGGATAATATAGGAACAACAACAACAAAAATATCAGTTGCCATCAAGTTGACACTGACTCATGAAGAACCTGTGTATGTCAGAGTAGAACTGTGCTCCATAGGGTTTTCAATCACTGATTTTTCCAAAGTAGATTGCCAAGCCTTTCTTCTGAGTGTCTCTGGGTGGACCTGAACCTCCAACCTTTCATTTAGGAGCTTGCACCACCCAGGTTCTATATTCAGTCATTCCTTTGTAACTAATAGCACTGGTGGATGATGTATAAGCCACAGCTCTCTCTAAGCCAGGGACCCATTCACAGTTCATCTCAGTGAGAGCTGTCTTGAATGTTAGCCTTGTGTCAGCTCATTTTGATGAAGTTTTAGAGGACTGGTCTGGTTGGCTGCTAGGTTTCATCCTGTACCTGTGAATCCCAGTCAGTTTCATGAGGCATTTAGGTTCTGATGAGGGGTGAATGGAGAGGGATAGGGAGTTACTAAACAACAGACAGAGGTTAAAACAATACTGAAGCACAAGTTATACATAAGTATGTTGTACCTAATAGTCACTGCTCTTCATAAAATTGTAGGATGCCCTTATAACAAATAAAACTACTGAAAAAAATCATAAAGCTGGATAAGACCTCCAAAAACAGTCTATTTTCCTGGGATCCCACGTAATGTTCTTAAAGTTTCGAGGAATACTAGAAATATAATTTTATGTTTTTCCACATTTGAGTTTGTGTTTTTTAGCAGATGAGCTCGTAAAAATATATCTTTGGTGGCAAATTCTCTACATATTGGAGAGGTGCTTTATTTTTTTCTGTTCATTTGAAGTAACTGCACACAGGGTAAACTGTGAGAGGGAAGGTTCTGAAGGGAAGCACCTGATAACGCAAGGAGAGTCACATTTCAGCAACATGATGGCTTCTTATCCAGAAGAAGCAGGTTCATGTTTTGCTTTTTGATTCTTTTGATGTTCCATGCAAATGAACCCTTGGCCTAGATTTTTGAAAAAAGTTTTTTTTAATGAACATTGAGCCCTTTTAGTCCTTCCTGTAAAGGTAGGGATATTTCTCTGTCCTTCGTCAAATTTGTTGAGGCAGAGAACTGATAGCCCAGCTTAGCTGTGCCAGGCATCAACCGTATTCTTATCAAGATCAGAGAGATACTCATCCTGGAAGTGGAGGGAGTGTTATCCGCACTTTCTGGAGGCTCTTTCACAATATTGTGAGTGAGGGAGACAAGGTCCATTAAAGGCCTGTTAGGGAGTAAGTTTGATGTTAAAGGGGCTCAGATCAATTCTGGAATTTAGGAGTCTATATTTTTGAGACATTCAGAAGAACTGAGGTAGGAGTCAAGATCCACAGAACAAATCATCTGAGTTTAAGGCTGCCTTGTTTTGTAAAGAAATGTTATTTGGGACTCTGTTTACTTTAACAATGGTTAAAAATAACTATCATTGTACACAAAATGATACTTAAAGAGAGACGTTTTTATTTGCATAACAAAGCAATACATTCAGATTAAAAGATGAAACTCATTCTGTACCATACATTAAAAAAAAAAAAATGCTTACCTGAAAATTTAAATGAGGAAGTAGCTATACTTAAACACCCAGTTTTATCCTTTAGCTTCTGAAGTAAAATGGTTTCAATCCTATCCCAAAATTTTGCTGCATTATTCTTATAGCACAATTTAAATTTCAGCACAATGTGCACTATCGCTTTCCCTTTGACTTGGCTGAAGAACAAAAATAGAAAACTAAATTATGCTTTATTCCTCTGCCTCTGTCACTCTTAGTGGAATCTTTCTAGCTTTCGTTAATTGGAATTCCTGGCAGCTTTTCTAGTCCCTCCCAAGGAAAGGGAAATGACATTTTATGGACAAGGTGGAACAGGGTAAAAAGATTGTGATTTAGCCTCAGGAGAACCAAGTTTGTGTTCTAGATCCACCATTTGCCAACTCTGACTACAGCAAGGTGTTTGCATTCTTTGTACCTAAGTTTTCTCATCTCTGAAATGGGAATGAGAATAGTATTTACTGGATTATTGTAAATATCATATAAAATAATGGATCTGAAGATATTTTGAAAATCTCAGAATGAAGTGTAACAATTATTTATTAATATCAATGTATCTATGTATTATAGGATATTTATTATAAATCCATTATAGACTCTGCAGGAAGAGTCCACAGAAGATAACAAAATGAAATATAATGGGTAAGATGAGAGAATCATTTATTATCTTGGCTTTCTTTTAGCTGAGAGGCACAATTTGTAGTAATGGGTCAGTTCTGTCTCATCTGTTGGAAATAATGGCTGAGGGGAAAAAAAAGTTGGACTGGATTTATTTTAATTTGTAATTCTGCCTTGAAGATGGAAATGTGTAAGCCAGAAAATTTAAAAGGGGGGAGCTACTGTTTACGCAGTGGAATGTCTAGTCTGCTCTAATCTCTATTTCTGTGGCTCCTTGCCTCTTCCTAGGCATTTCTCCATATTTGTACAATTGCTAATCCAAAACATCTCAGAGCTCTAGGTAACTGGGGAAGGATCATGAGAACATCCATTTCCAAACTTTCATAACACTTATGATCAAAAAATAGAAACCAAGGCCAAGATTTTCTGAGTGATTATAATACCTAATTGTTTCAATTATTTTTTTCCAGGGTAAATAAATAGATTAGTTGATGTCTATATATCCTATCACTTTATGTTTTAGGGGTGCATGTACCAGATGCCCTTCCTTCTGAGGGTATGAATGAATTATTTTCATTTCCTTTGTACAGAATTAGGTGATTGGTAATTATATGTTAATTTATTAAGTATTCTCATTTCTTTCTCTGCTTTTATGTTGGTGCAATACCAGTTTTTTCTGGTCTGATCTGCAGGTACAGACCCTTTGTTCCTTGTGGAAAGGACAAGGACTTATCACATTACTCTGTTTATTTTAAAGAGTTTATAAAACCATGAATGTCACCTGAACTTTTCTCCTAGATCAAATATAGACACACAGATTCTTAATCTGATGCTATTAGGGTCATATGATCCTCTCTATTACCACAAACATGAACTAAGTTGTTTAAATTTTACCTTCTCCTGACTCACAAATAATGTTCAGTTTATATGAAAAAATGTAATTTTTTGCCACAGGCAGTTTTCCTTTCCATTCCCCAATTTCACATTCATTCATTCATGTAACAAATGTGTATTGGTCCAGACAATATGTCAGACAGAGTTCTAGGTACCAGAGCTCTATCTGCGTATAACACAGCAAGGTCCCTGCCCTCATGTAGCTTATATTCTAGTAGGAGAGACAGATAAAGAAGAAAAGAAAGAAATAAGATCATCTTCGGGGTAAGTGCTATGAAGAGACTAGAGCAGTGACTGGAGGGTAGAGTTGGGAATATTGCACAAGGTTTTAGGGAAGTCCTCTTCGAGGTTGCCTAATGACAAGAAGAAGTTGAGTCATGCTGAGATATTGGGGAAGAACATTCTGGGAAGAAGGAATAGCAAGTGCAAAAGTTCTGTGGTGGGAACAAGTTTACTGGTAGAATAGAAGGTAGATCAGTGTGGATAGAAAGTTGTGAGTGAGGTCAAGGGTATGGGATGAGATCGAGAGAGAGACGGGCCAGATCAAGTAGGGTCATGTGAACTATAGTAAGGAGTTTGGAATTTGTGGGAAACCTTCAGAGGGTATTAAGCAGAGGATTGATGTGTTTGTTAATTCCAGTTCCTTTGGGTGACTGTGTGAAGAATGGTTTATAGGGGTGGCAAGAATGAAAGCTGGCGATGAGACAGGTTAATATAGTAATCTAAATAAGAAAGAACATGGGCTGGACATAGCAGAGAAGGTAAATGAGAGGAAGTGGAGAGTCCCTCCTCTGTAACCCCTGCTTAAGGTCTCTGCACCCAATAGCTTGTTTCTTCTTATAGTCATTTCTGTCACATCAGTTCAGCAGGTTCTTTGTTTTCCCCCTACAATCAGCTAGTGATTCTGCCTCCAGAATAACTTACCTGGTTTGCTCAATTAAAAGTAGCAAATGGCACTGTGAAATGCTGGTTACAATACAAAGAGTTTGTTGGCAAATTAGAGCTGATCAGTTATGGTTGGTTATCACCTTCTGGCACTTACGAAATTAACATGATTGATTGTAGTCATCAAAATGAAGTCAAATACTGTGTTACTTCTCAAATATTATAGTATTATTTATATATTTGAGCAATTAAAAATGCTGTGTAGTACTGTTATGAGAACACAAAAGGAATTATTTTCAAAGTGACCTTTGAAATGAGACTTATTTGAAAAGTTAAATAATCAGACAAACATCTTGAAGATGATAAAGAATGAAATTTGAAAGTGTTTTAATGGAATGTGCGTCATATCCCAGAGATTTGACAATTATTTTAGCAGAATATCCTAGGACCTTGATAATCAGAATTATGAAAATTGCTAATATTCATGTGTGCTTCATATATACTCATTACTTTGTGTAATCCTCATAAGAACTCTATGAGTTAGGTATTATTATTTCCATTTGTAAATGAGAAAAACTGAAGCTTAAGCAATAAAAAGTTATATAACCAGAAATTTCTTTAAAAATATGTACAAATTCATGTTGCATATAAATAGAAAAGGTAATAAGTTTTGGAATCTATGTTTGCCTGAAACTAAAAGCCTGTTCAACTTTATTTTCTTGGTTGATTTTTAAATAATGTATGCTCTTAACCAGTATCCCAATGTACTTTTCAAGATGACAACCTCTAGAAAATGGGGTACATATAATGGCTAAGGGTGTGTGTGGCATGACTGTTCAAATTAAACCCGTTGCTGTCAAGTCGATTCTGACTCAGCGACCCTGTAGGACAGAGTAGAACTGCCCCATAGAGTTTCCAAGGAGCAGCTGGTGGATTCGAGCTCTGAACCACTACGCCACCAAGGCTTTTTTATTTACTAAATGTGTGACCTTGCAAGTCACAACCTATCTTTGCTTCAGTTTTCTCACCTATAAAATGGGAAAATAATATACCTACTGTGATGTCCTTCACCAACAAGTAAGCCCATGCACCTTCCATGTTCAGAACCTTTATTGAGACCTCGTTATGTAGGCATGATTGATTGAATCATACTCTCCCCCTCTCCCCTTCAGGTCAGCTGGTATCACAAGGTACCTCTTTCTGGCCTGGCCAGCCTCCACCTCAGCCACCTTATTGGCATAACCTGTTAGGTCTGAAGCTGTCTTAGATAACAACCCAAAAAACCAAACCCATTGTCATGCAGTCGATTCCGACTTATAGCGCCCCTACAGGATAGAGTAGAACTGCCCCATGGGGTTTCCCAGGAGCAGCTGGTGGGCTCAAACTGCTGACCTGGTTCACAGCCCAGCTGTCAACCACTGCACCAGCAGGGCACAAAGATACTTCAATTACTCACGAAATTCCTGGGCTTTAGAAGTTATCTTTCAGGAACCAAGGGCAAAGAAATTCTTTGGGGAAAGTTAACCCCACATCTACAGTACAGAGTTGTTATAAGGTTTAAATGAATTAATATAAGTAAAATGCTCTGAGGTATTGGTTAAGAGTGTGGATTATTTAAAAATGAACCAAGAAAATAAAATAGCACAGGTTTTAGTTTCAGGCAGACCTAGATTCCAATTATTAACTTTTCTATTTGTGTTTGCTATTACTATTTTTCCTCTCATACTCGCTTAGAAGAGAAACCACTTCTGAGTTACATCTTATTTTCATCCTATTAAATAGTGTCACTCTGGATTGACTCCTTTATTTTTCTTGTAGACACTAAAAACAATTATATCTTGTATTCACTCCAGCTACCGCGATTTTAAGTAACAGTACTGGAGAATTTATTTTAATTTGTTGCAGATATAATTTAATTTTAATAGTTGATCCTATTCTTTAAATACATCCAGGTAGATTTTTCAATTGTATTTAAAAAATATATCCAGCTGGAAAAAAAGAGAATTTAAGTTTGTAGGCATTGCTTTAATTCCACGCATATCCAATAGCTACAACACAGTTTTAAAAAGAAGTTGGTGGTTGCTATTGTTGTGGAGCATACAGGTTCAGAAACTTTTTGCTAGAATTTCATGCAGTTTTTTCCCACAGGGATATGGAATTATTGCATTCAAAAATGGCTCCCACTGCATGAGTGGTTTATCATACCATCTTGAATGTTAGCTCTTCTCCCTAGGGAAATGTTTCCTTCCCCTTTCTTCTTAAGGAGAACTTATTGGAACTGCTAACACTAAGGAATTGCTTGAAATACAGATATTTGGTTTTATACATCTGTGTTTATCTTATCCTGAGGTGGGTTTTCACAGGGTGGTAGGGCACATTCTGCATCCAAGAGGTTTTATTTTTTGGCTCCAGTATACCATCACAGAATTTTGCTTAAATATTTTTAATAGTTAATAAGACTGATGATGAACAAAGTGGCAACATGGCATGTGTAATGCACAACTAGGGAGTAATAGGCTATTTCCCTGAAAATACCAGATAAAAACAAAAAACCTACTTTAGGGAATCTTGCTACTAAGGCAAACTGTATAGTGGCCTTCCTAGTTTTGCTTGTATGCCTGCCTGTAACTCAGGCATAGTTAACTCACAGCCTTACTGTGTTCAAACTTGGACATGTATGCATTGGGGTAAGGCGTCTGTGTTAGTGTCTGGGTAGCTATGTTCTGCTACGATTTAGAAACTGTAGATCCCCCATATCTTTTTT